AACATATAATGTTTTTATATGTGCAGCTTGCTAAAGTACTTTTTTTGTGTGGAGTTTGTCATATTTGTGACAGTGTCAATATCAGTGCGTCTATAATTGGGGGCAGAAACACGTCCCTGGCTGTCACCCAGAGAGGTTTTCTTCCGCATCTGTTAGCTCCACAGAGCTAGTGTTATGGACAGATGAATTAAAATAAAATGGCTATTTACTAATGTCTATTTATTCTCTGTTCACTATGTTAAAACTGGCTTCTAGAGTAAATATTCCCTTCCCCCTTTCAATGTGTTCAGCTGCTGTTTACTATGTAAATTCCTCACATCCTGCTAGCCTCCCCCACTACCTTTGTGCCAGTTAACAGCTATATGCCACGTATAACAAAATGGAGAATCAGTGGTTTAGAACTGATAGAAACTACTCACTCCCCCTCCCATCGTGTATCCAGAAGTCTGTAATGATGACACTACATCCTGTAGGGGGGTTTAAACAAGACCCCCCTTTCTCTGTTAACCAATTGGTGAATGTATACTGTATGTTTAAACTGTGACGTATTTTTGCTTTAAGAAGGAGCCCCCACTCCGGGGAATAAAGCATTCCTGGGTTTTTCACTGATCAGAAACTTTGTCTCCGGTGTGAATTACTTCTAGGGAAAGCATGCACGCATTAATTAATCAATTTGGAAGCTGTAGATAGACAAATTATCAAAGTTTTCTTTGATCCAAAACAATTTGTCACCCCAGATGGGACTGAAAGGGATACGTTACTAAGGGAGCCGTCAAATCCCAAGACAGGAGAACAAAGGATTCCCAGAGATTGGAAACGGAGCCTGATCACCTCTGCATATGTTAAATGAGTTGCTTACCTATATTTTCCTTTCTTTGGATTTCTCTTATTCTCCGTGCCTTCACATTCGGCTTCCGGTGGTTAACGTCTTCAGACAGGTAATATATATATGCCCGAATGTCCCCTTTTATATAGAACCTGTCACTTGTCTATCTACAGCCTGAGTCCTGAGTGTGAGTTTTATGTGTGAAAGTGTCTGTTTGAGAATCTGTTTTACTACTTGCTTAATACTGTTATATAATGCTGCCAAGTGTGGTTAAGCACTTGCAGATTTAGCCAAGTTCGGGTTTGGTGGAAAAACCCTGGCTCTTTATTTATTTTAACTAAGCTTCGGTAAAGAAGTTATTGAGGGACTCGGTCAAGAGTTTAAAAATGTATTTTAACTAAGCTTCGATAGAGAAGTTATTGAGGGACTCGGTCAAGAGTTTAAAAATGTATTTTAGCTAAGCTTCGGTAAAGGAGCGGTTTATGTGCTTGAGTGTTTCTGTGTGTGTGATTTGAGTTATTATAAGCCGGCATTTATTTTAAGGACTTTGTGATTTAATTGCATCTGTATATTGTGCTTTTGCATGTAAATGTCTTGTCGGGTACCATATATGTTAATTGTTCTATATTTTCTCTGTGTCTTGTAGCGCTCCTATTCTATCTTTTGTACTGAGGAGAGCTGTGCTTAGGCACTTACATGGTTAAATACTTCGTGCTTGCAACTCTGCTTCACCCTCTCCTCCCCCCTCCCTTTTTTTTTGCATCACTCTGGTTCTCTGTGCTCTGCTAGGACGTACATGTGACCTTGATGCACGTTTCCCTTAGTCTATAACTCCTAAACTCTCTCTCTCTCTCCCTCTCTTTCTCTTTCAGTCAGTCTCTTTCTCTCTCCTTCTCTTTCTCTTCCTAAATCCCTCTCTCTCTCTCTCTCTCCCTCTCTTTCTCTTTCAGTCAGTCTCTTTCTCTCTCCTTCTCTTTCTCTTCCTAAACCCCCCTCTCTCTCTCTCTCTCTCTCCCTCTCTTTCTCTTTCTGTCAGTCTCTTTCTCTCTCTCTCTCTCTCTCTCTCCCTCTCTTTCTCTTTCAGTCAGTCTCTTTCTCTCTCCTTCTCTCTCTCTTCCTAAACCTCTTTCTCTCAATCTCCCTCTCACCTTATCTCCCTCAGCCTCTTGCTCACTTTCTCCTACACTCTCGCTCTCTCTCACTCTTTTTGTCTCCCTTACTTTCACACTCTTCCCCCACTCTCTCGCTCCCTCATTCTCTCTACCTCAGTCTCTCTCTCTTTCTCTCTCTATCTCTCAGTCTCTCACTCTCTTTTGGTCCAGGGTCTGCTTCTCTCTATCCATACCACTGTTGTGTATAAATGGGTCAAACTAATGTTAGCCCCTCCCGGGGTCGGTTAGCATGTGACCTTGTAAAGGAAAGAGCTGGGGACTTAGCTGTAGCCAAACTTAAGAAAATTATTAAACTGTGTGGTATTACTATGTCCCCCAGTGGCAGATTGCAGGCGGAAGACTGGAGGAAACTTTTAAACGATAAACATGGGATATTGTTAGATAATGGGTTAATGAAGGCCGCAGATTCTTGGTATCGGGTGGCTCGAGGGATTAAGAAGGATGGGTGGATTGAGGAGGAGATAGACCTAGAGGGGAAGAAAGTCTTTGTGTATCATGAAAAAGGTTGTTTTGTTGAATCTGTTGAAGGCGTTTCCAGCCCTCCTCCATATGATAAGGCCTGGCCAGAAAGGGGAGTGGCTCAACCAGCCTCTGGAGCCCCCACACAGCCCATTCATGTTAACACATACTCTCCAGCCCCTGCTGCCTTATACCCTGTCCTTAAGGCAGACGGTTCATGTTATTTTCCAGCCCCCTCTCCTTCTCCACTCCAAATCCCAGTCACACATTCCCTTCCTGTTTCTTTGCCTCCTCCTCTCTTGCCCATCTCTGCTGCTACACCCTCTCTTCCAACTCCTGTTGCTTCTGTCCACGCCCAATTCCTTTCACATCTCCCTATAACTTCTCCCCTTTCACTGTCACCATTTCCTGTTTCTAACACACCCATCCCTTCCATGATGGTAACTTCCCCTACCAACACCCCTGTGGTCGCTTCCTCCCTCCCTTCTGTATCCTCTTCCATTCCCGCCCGTCTCATAACTGCCCCCAGTGTATCTTTCCCTATTATGACTATTGGATCCACTGTTCCTGCAGCATCAGGCTATCCTCCTGCTGTCACCCCTGCAGCATCAGGCTATCCTCCTGCTGCACCCCTGCAGCATCAGGCTATCCTCCTGCTGTACCCCTGCAGCATCAGGCTATCCTCCTGCTGCTACCCCTGCAGCATCAGGCTATTATCCTGCTACCTCCACTGCTACATCAGTCACTTCTCCCCCTGCCTCACAACTTGATTCGGTCCACATTACTCCTACAGTTAGTCACCCTGCGGCCAGTACTACTGTTGGACCGATTTCAGTTCTTCCTGACATGGCTTGTGTATCCAGCCAACAGATTCCCATTCCCCCTGCTGATGGTAGTGTCCAGGGGGTGCAGCCTCCACAGACCCCGACTAATCTGCCTCACATTCCCATAGCAGGTGCTTGCAGTACCCAGCATGATCAGGAGGGTGCCCCTTTAATGTATGTTACCTTCAACCCGTCCCAAGCTGCAACACTGGTACACTCACTTCCTGACCCTGAGAAACAGCCCATGCCCTTTTTCCGTCGGATTGTTCAAATCCGTAAAACTTACTCTGCAGCATGGCGTGATTTGTTTAGTCTGTGTGAAATTAAGGCAGGGGATGCTTACTGGCCCATAATGGAAAAGAGCTTTGATGATGCCCGTCTCACTACAGACACGGATTATCAGTCTGATATCACATTTTGTGAACAACTCCGTGCATGGGCTCAAGATAAGTTGACTGATCAGTCTACTTCTATTGCTGATATTGTTCAAGAAAAATCAGAAACGGTTGAAAGATTTCATTCCAGGTTAACTCAAACCTTTTCTGATCTGGGTTTCAATACATGTAATAAGGCCCACACCCAGATGCTATCAGCCGCTTTCGTTGCAGGCCTTAAAGAACCTATAAGGAAAGGCCTGGTCCTGTCCCGTCCCGAATTCAGGATAATTCCCATGGATACTCTCCTCCTGGTCGCTAAAGGCCTGGAGTCGATCCAATTGCCCCAGCACAAGAAATCCACTCCTTTAATGTTTTCATTACATAACCCTGCAATTACACCTGCCCCTGTTGGGTTCCCTGTTACCACACTACCGGGCCCTTTCATGGCTCAGGTTCCAAGACCACAAGGTCGAACTTGTTTTCACTGTAAGCAACTAGGTCATTTTAAGAAGGATTGTCCAGGTTTTCCAGCACCTCGGCAGCGCACACAGGCTCTACGGCCACTGTATCCTGTGGCCGGTTATCCTCCTGCTCAAGCGCTAGGTTATCCGACACATGATTCCAATTATGCTAACTATACTACTTATTATCCTGATGACCTAGCCTCAGCCAATTATCTGCCCTCTAATCGTCCTATGCCTAGACACCGACGCCCTGCACAACATGCTCAACAACAATACTACTCAACTACACCTACACGTACATACCCTGGTCCAGACGGTACCCCTTGTAGCAACCCATTAACTAAGCCCTTACGGGTGGGTACTTTCCCTGATCTCCTTACTCGTTTTGTAGTGTCTCCCTCTTGTCCTCTTAATTTGTTGGGAGCTGATGTTCTGTCCCGCTTGCAGGCCTCCATCTCCTTTACTCCAGATGGCAAGGTTCAGTTATTGACCCCTCTCTCCAGTGAAGATACCTCAGCCCTTTGTTCTTTACCCCTCCTACTCCACATGGAGTCACCCCATGGGAATGCAAGGGTCCTAGACAATTCCCCCAGTGCACTTGACAGAGTTCCTGTGCAACTGTGGTCTACTGGTCCCGATGATATTGGACGACTTAAAGTCCCTCCGATATTTGTGCAGTTGCTCCAAGGAGCAAGTCCGCCCAGAAGACCACAATATCCATTGACACCTGCTCAGGCCCTCTCTATCTCCAAACAGGTTGAAACTCTGCTGGCTGCGGGTGCTCTGATCAAATGTGTGTCGCCTTGTAACACTCCTTTGTTTCCAGTTAAGAAAAAGACCGAAAAGGGCTAACCGGACAAGTACAGGATGGTTCAAGACCTCAGAGCAGTCAATGATGTTACCGTCTTGGAAACTCCCATTGTTCCAAATCCTCATACTCTTCTATCCCAGGTCCCTCCTTCAGCTAAATTCTTCACGGTGGTGGATTTGGCCAATGCCTTCTTCAGCGTGCCTTTGCATCCCTCTTGTCAATACCTGTTTGCATTTACCCATGACCGCCAACAATATACCTGGACAGTCATGCCCCAGGGAGCACAAAATTCCCCAAGCCAGTTTGCAAGAGCCATGGTATACATCCTGGAACCATGGCAGAAATCTCACACAGACGTGTTCCTCCTGCAATACGTGGACGATCTCCTTCTCTGTGCTGACGATCTCCCGACTGCAGAATGTGCCTCTGAAGATTTCCTCTGTTTCCTGGCCGCCCAAGGTTGTAAAGCATCTAAGAAGAAGTTGCAGTGGTGCCAACCCTCGGTGATATTTTTGGGGCATTGTCTTTCTCATGGCACCCGGCACCTTACGAGAGACAGAGTGCGGGGTATCACATCACTCTGCCCTCCATCGGCTCACAAGTCCCTCCATGCCTTCCTAGGTCTTATCTCTTACTGTAGAGCCTGGATTCCTGAAGCCTCTACACTGATGCAGCCACTCTACGATGCCCTCAAAACTGAACCGTTTGATTTATCTCCTGAAGCCCTTACCAGCTTCTTCGCATTACGACGTGCTGTTGTTACTGCTCCTGCTCTGGGCCTTCCCAATTACGAGAAGCCCTTCAAGCTCTTCGTCTACGAAAAAATGGGACATGCATCTGGTGTTCTCACTCAGTCTCATGGGTCTCGTCAACGTCCAATAGGGTATTACTCCTGTCAGTTGGATCCTGTGGCCAGGGGAGGACCCTCCTGTCTTCGGGCTGTATTTGCGGCAAGTGCTCTACTGGACAAGACGTGTGACATAATCGTTGGTCACAAGCTAACCATTCTCGCCCCCCATGATCTTTCTGCGATATTGAATCAAGTTCAACCTAAACATCTCTCTACTCAAAGGCATCTTCGTCTCCAAACAACTTTAATGTTACCCGATAATGTCTCCTTACAGCGATGTTACACTTTGAATCCTGCCACTCTTCTGCCGCTTCCCAAGGGGGGAGTACCACACTATTGGTACAGTCTGAACATAGATCCTGATGCCTTCCTTGATCTGGATGTCCATATGCCCACAGTACCACACGATGAACAGCCATCTCCTCTATGGCATTGTACTTTGTGGTTCAGAGATGTTCTGGGGCCTGACCCTCAGTATGAAGAAGAACTGTTTCAATTGATTGAAGTACGTCTCACTTTGACAGACATATACTGTGATACAAAAGGTAACACTGTAGTTTTAGTTCAATTACCCACAGAAGTGACTCATATGTACCACCATTGGGAGATGGCAATTCCTCATGTCTCTATTACTAAATCTCCAAATATCTCATGGAAGGAACTTGGTCCATTAGCCAAAGAATGGAGTGCCACAGATCAAGACCAACTCTCCACAGAAGGTGTTACCAAACGAACTGTGAATTGTAAGACTACTGGTTACCCACAATATCACACAGAAATATGTGAAGATGCCCCTCCCATAGATCCTGACCCAGATGTTCCCCATGACTGTTTTGAACAGATGAAGATGGAAACAGCCCATCTTCCTACAGTACATGAAACGGCTTTGCCAGATCCTGACTGCAAACTGTTTGTGGATGGCTCCAGATTTGCGGATGAACAAGGAAGATACCACACTGGATTTGCAGTGACCACAGTAGATCAGGTACTTCAAGCATCCCCACTTCCCCCGTCTATGTCTGCTCAAGAAGCGGAACTAAAAGCCCTCACTGTAGCATGCCAAATGTTTGAAGGGAAACGTGTTAATATTTACACGGATTCAAGATATGCCCTGGGCGTAGCACACGATTTTGGATTAATATGGAAAACAAGAGGTTTTCTGACAGCGACCGGTACACCAGTTAAACATGGTACAGCTATCAAGGAATTGATGGATGCTTTACTCCTTCCTGAAGAAGTGGCCATACTGAAAGTAAAAGCCCATGGAAGACGGAATTCGGAAGAAACATATGGCAATCATAAAGCTGACCAAGCCGCCAAAGATGCTGCATGTCAATCAAGGGAAGTGGACAGAAGAGTGTCCGGTGCGGAAATTCCTATTTTTCCCATGCAAACCTTACCTACAGACCTCAAGTTTTTGAAAGAACAGCAAGCAGCTGTAAGTCCTGAAGAAAAGCAAAGCTGGAAACAGAAAGGAGAAACCTTGCAGGATGGAGTATATACTAGCAATCTCAAATTTTGTCTACCTAAATGTATGTATCCGGCTGTGGTTCAGTGGGCCCACGGAGCAGCGCACTTCTCTAAGACACTCATGAACTCTTTAATTGCTAAATATTTTGAAGCACCAGGTATTACCACTCTGACTAAAACCTACTGTAAGTCTTGTGCTATCTGTGCCAAGTGCAATCCGCCACACAACCCATTCCAGAGAGTCCAAATTGACCACATTCAGATGCCAAAGAGTGGCCGGTATGAATATGCCCTAGTTATGGTGGACATGTTCTCAGGATGGCCAGAAGCTTTTCCGGTCACTAATATGACCGCCAAGACCACTGCCAAGCGGTTGCTCACTGAAATTGTCTGTAGATATGGAGTTCCTGAAGTGATTGAAAGTGACCAGGGCCCGGCTTTTATAGCACTAGTGACTAAGGAAGTCTGGGCAGCACTCGGGGTGACCCTTGCATTCCACACACCCTATCACCCACAAAGTAGTGATAAGGTAGAACGCATGAATGGCACCTTAAAAGCCAGAATGCTTAAGATGGCCCAAGAAACTAACCTGCCCTGGCCAGAGAGTCTCCCCATAGCTCTGTTTAGTGTTAGGTACACACCAAGAGGGAAGTTTAACCTGTCTCCTTATGAGATTTTGTTCGGTTCAGCCCCTAGGTTAGGTTGTTACTTTCCTCAACAACTCCAACTGCAATCAGATACTATGGTTAATTATGTGACTGCTCTTTCCCAAGTTTTAAACAAGATACATGCCCAAGTGTTTTCTTCCATTCCAGATCCAGAGTCCGATACAGGCACACACAAGTTGCTCCCTGGTGATTGGGTTCTGGTTAAGAAGTTCCTGAGAAAACATACCCTTGAACCCAGATATGATGGTCCGTTCTAACCACGACTACCTCAGTTAAATTGGCTGGAAAGAACTCTTGGATACACGCTTCACATTGCAAGAAAGTCCCAGATCCAGAGGAAGCAGATCCTGTTATAGCATGAATTTTGTGTATTTGTTCTTGCTGCTAGGTCTGATAAAGGCCCAACAAGTCGCTATAACCAAAGACAATCATGTTTATACATTTTGATACAATTCCTCTAGTACACGGGTAGCCACATTTGCATTTGATTATTGTGATATTGTAAATTGTACATTTCCACCAGCATTGTTGTCAACAGTGTACAAAGACATACCTAACATTAAGGACCCATACATATGTGTGACTGATGACTACTGGGGATATGAGTGTAGCTCACGGAAGGCAGTAGGTTGGAATACAGGGCCATCTTGGGGCTATAGACCACAAAGTGCCTTAGACAGATTAGATACAAATGGGGAGTCCTTACT